CTTCTGACGGGAGGGTGCGGAAATCCGAAGGCCAAGAAAACCCCTCTTCCTTCAAGTTAAATACAGTGATGGTGAAAAATTTGACTCTTCCAAAGATTGAAGTGTTGGTGAATAACATCCCATCCACCGCACTCCTGGATACAGGCGCGCAGTGTTCCTATGTGGCAGAAGATTTTTTTAGGAAGTATTTCCGTAAATACCGCATATATAATTCGGATAATACGACAGTGTTAGCTGCGCAGGGAGAAAGATGCAAGTGCATAGGTAAATTACCGTTATACATTCGTATCAAGGACGAACAAGTAAAGGTTATGTTTTTTATAGTAAAGAATCTGCAAGCACATATTATCTTAGGGATAGATTTTCTTTCAGAGGCAGAAGCAACGCTGGATTTTAATGAAGCGTCCCTTAAGCTGACGATGAAACCAGTTCGAGAAGAAAAAACAGAACCACCGACGTTAAACCTCGACCACCTGCTTAAGGAAGAACAACAAAAAAATTCGACAAGTGGTAAGTGAATTTGCTTCGTTATTTAGTGATATTCCCGGATTTACTCAAGTTACTAACCATAGCATCGACACCGGAGATTCACTGCCAGTTCGCCACAAACCATATCGATATGATAAGAATAAAGAAAAAATTATAGAATGGCACATTCGAGATATGTTACGTAAAAAGATCATAACGCCCATCTCAAGTAGTTATGCTAGCCCGGTTGGTGTTATGTAAGAAAAATAATGACTATCCGGTAACACATCCAAAAGGGTGGCATTTCGCAATTGACTATCGTAAATTAAAGTCCATCCATGACTAAATATCCGGTATATCCGTTACCTATTATCGAAGAAATTCTAAGGAACATAACTTCTACCAAATATATGACTACTTTAGACTTAACGACTGGTTATTTTCAAATAGGGGTTAGACCGGAAGAATGTGCCTAAGACTGCTTTTATAACCAAGTCTGGCACTTATGCATTCCTGCGTATGCCGTTTGGCCTTTCAGGGGCACCGGCAACATTTCAGCGATGTATGGACATTGTGCTAAGGCCTGTTCTTGGAAAGTCCACATTTATCTATTTAGACGATATCATTATTACTAGTGATAATCTGGACCAACATGTACAGGATTTAAGACAGGTGTTTTCATTATTAAATGAGGCCGGTCTAAAAGTTAATGTCGAAAAGTTCAAATTTGCAGCCCCTGAATTAAAATACTTAGGTTACAAAATATCTCAGAAAGGAATCGAGACAATCGAATCAAAAATAATCGCTGTGCAAAAGTATCCGCCGCCAAATACGGCGAAGAAGCTCTCTTCATTTCTAGGACTTTGTTCATATTATAGGTCCTTTATAAAAGATTTTGCAGCTATTGCTGAACCATTGTTAAAATTAAAAAGGAAAAAGGCAAGATTCTCGTGGACGGCCGAAGCCAATAGTGCTTTCGAAAAATTAAAGCAAGCATTAACGCAAGCCCCTGTTTTGAAATTTCCTGAAAATGATGAGAATTTAGAAATTTCAGCGGATGCTTCGGATTATGCGGTAGGAGTGGTACTTTCGCAAAATCAGCAGCCCGTGGCATTTTTTAGTCGAACTTTAAATCAAACACAAAAAGAAATTTTAAATAAATTATTCCGCGACTGAGAGAGAGGCACTTGCAGTTCTGTTAGCAGTGCAAAAGTTCCGAGTCTATTTTGGAAGGGGGCGCCAATAACAGTGTATTCTGATCATGCGGCAGGTAACTAGAAGTATCATCAATGCATATACTCAGGGAAAAACTTTATCCCCAAGGTTAATAAGATGGGCACTCAAGTTACAAGAGGGTATAATCTGGTAATCAAGCACACCCCCGGAAAGGAAAATATCGTAGCAGGATGCCCTATCCAGAATTAAAAATAGATGAAGAAGGTAATACTGTAAAGGTGGCAATGCTCACAGCATGTACAATAAAGTGCCGAGAAACTGTAATAACCGAACTGGGTAAGGATCCTGAATTTAAAAACATTTATGAGTATTTAAAGGATCCTGAAAATTTTAGCCACCAAGATATTGTGGCGATAAGAAATAGGGTGGCCCATTACGAACTAATAGATGTCTATTATTTTATACAAAAACTACGAATTCCAACAACGAATTTCGACCTGTTATCCCAGCTAGTCTTAGATTAAATATACTGCAGGAGTTACACGACTGCTATTAACTTCTCATGCTGGTATTCGAAAAACCATCCAACGCGTACGCGAAGCAGTTTATTTTCCTGAGCTGCAAAAGTTAACAGGGGCGTATGTCCAGTCCTGCCCAACATGTCAAGCAGTTAATTATATTAATTTCCGCCCGGCCGGGTTTCTAAATAGCATTAAATCGGAATTTCCAAATGAAATAATTGACAACGATTTATTGGGCCCTTTCTCAAAAAGTCAGTTAAATAAAAGTCGGTATCTCCTTGTTATGGTTGATCATTTTAGTACGTAGACCGAAATTGTTCCCTTAAAACGAGCCTCCGCGATATTAATTACAGATTCTATTTTAAATAAATATATTTTAAAATACGGGGCGCCTCTAAAAGTTATATCGGATAATGGTCCTCAATTTGTAAGTAATATATTTGAAGACATGTGCCAAAAACTGGGCATACGTCATTTAAAAATGGTCCCGTATCGGCCGCAATCAAATATAGCGGAACGGGTTAATAGAAATATAGTGAAAATTATCGGTAGTTATGTTAAAAAGTTTCATAAAAGCTGGGATAACTATGTCAATGAATTAGCTTTCACCCTTAGGACCGCAAAACATGATACGACGGGCAAAACTCCTGCTGAGTTATTTTTAGGCAGAAAGATTATCGCCGTTACATAAACTATTTTATGTTCAAAAAAGAGCCCCAGAATTTAAAATGGGTGATATAGAAAATTTAATTATAGAAGCAAAAAAGAACACTGAAGTAGCACAGAGAAAACAGAAGCTTTATTATGATATGAAACGACGGGGAGTAATTTATAAAGTAGGAGATGAAGTGTTAAAAATTAAGCATTCACTTTCTTCAGCACCAGAAGATAAAACTGCCAAATTGTTTCCTCGATTTGAAGGTCCATATGTCATAGAAAAAATAACTCAGGCTGTAGTGGTGTTAAAAGCCAGGAATGGTGAAACATGCTCCACAAACATTGACCAGATAAAACCATTCTATAATCGTAATAAAATGCCAATATTTAAACATCTTTTGCAGGATCCGGCACTGCAGGCACAAGCACCAGAGGTGAAACAACGACAATCACAAGGGCAAGCCATTAGGAGGCAGGAGCAATTGAAAAGAAAGTTTCCCCGTCTACGTAGCAAATGTCGACGAATTGATGAAGGAACACCAGCTGCGGAGGCAAAGAAACAAGGAAAATTTGAACAGCCAGCAACGAGATCCAAGCAGGAACGAGAGAGAGTTGTCCCGGTTCTGCCAAGACCAGCTGCCATCAAACGGCCGAGACCACAGGCAGAGGCTAAAAAGAAGGTCTTCAAGGGTGACCGCACTGGAAGGAAAAGAAAGCTCATAGAGGAAGGAACTGAAGGGCGAACCCGCACAAGAAGGAAGATAAACCAAACGCTAGTCTTTGCTACCTTCCAGGACTGGGCAGAAATCTATATTAAGTCTCCCTTGAGTAGTCGTTTGTTTTGTCTTGAAAATTTATATTAAAATTAATTGTATTGTGGTTTTCAGAGCTAATTTATTTACTGCCTTTTACTTTGCAATCCTTCTTAAATAAGCACAAAGAAACCTGTATAAGATAACCTTTACTGTTTTGAAGATTTTGGTGTTCTTTAGAGACAGTTGCCTTATAGAGGTAATTACAGTATTTATTTATATTCTGTGAAAAACTAGCTATTTACGGAAGCGATCGTCTTACAGCAAGGAATGTCCATGTTAAGTTTCACTGGATATGTACTACATATAAATATCAATGTCTTTAAACTATATGTATAATTTAACGAATTAGTGAAGTAATTGTTTTAAAAACGGTATTGTTCACACTGGACATACATTTACTGCAGCATGCATGTAGATCTATAGTTGGAGCACTTCCTTTTCGCAATCAGTCGAGTACACAAGTTAGCTTCATATCTAAACCGCAAAATTAAAATGGTCTCTAAACAAATTACTTGAAACAATTAATGGTTTGTTTAGCTTGGCATTTAATGTATGCTTTCTAAAAACCTCCTTACAATAACTCTAGAATTAAAATGATAATTTGATAGCTCCATTCTTCTGTTCAGTTTGTTCAATTTGACTAATTAAGAAACGAATGAAATTGAGCCTCGTAGCAGCAGTTACCATTGAGTGGTTACCTCGTAGCTCGCTTTGTATATTCTGGATCAAAGTATAAATAAGGATGCAGCATTATTTTATGCTAGGAGTGCCAAAGCACAATTAAAAAAAGCTCTAAAATTGTTAAACAATGAGCGAATTATTGTGTGAGTTTTTCTAAAACATAACTACTCTGTGTAGTCTGAATATTTCTCGCGGAAGTAGATTAAAAAACGCTATCTGCAAAACAAATCAGAGAATTATTTCTGATTAACTTTATGTTATTGGTAAGTTAACATCAGGATAAGAATTCTCTCTAAGGATCCTTTACAAGCTGTCTAAAGTCAATTGATTTATGCAGTGTGGCTTTTAGTAACCTGATGCATGTTTTACAAACTTAACCAAATGAGAAACGAAAAAATGTTTTGCGAATGAAAATCTAATTTGCTTTCATGGACGCGCAATTTTCCATCCATGGAAATATAATGAGCAGATGGATTAAGACAATGACTTGAATGCTTATTTTTAGTACCAAAGTTACTATAATCCACTACTGTAGGATCTGGATATTCCATAAATTGAAACAACCCTCTAAGGAACACAAAACGTTTTAAGCAATATTCTTAAAACTATGATAGACTTTAAAAGAATTAAATTCAAACTATCCGAACATGTTTTATTAATAAATATATAAAAATATAATTACCTATAGCAAACGGTTTGAAATATTTGATGTACTTTGGAACTGGTACTTGGACAGGAGCCGGAATCGGGTGAGGAACAGCGATGTTCTTTACGATGTGTTTCACAACTGTTTTTACGGGTCTCTCCCATCCTTCATTATGTAGATCACCTCCAAATCCTCCACTATGAAGGTTCCCTCCGAATCCAGTGTTATCTCCGCCAAAACCATTTCCGTGAAAGCCGCCAAAGTCTTTGCTCTGCGTGTCTGTGCTGTATCCACTGCTGCCAATATCACTTGAAAATCCACTGCTACCAGCATTATTATGGATACCTGTACCATATCCGTTATTGCTAACGCCGCCGAATCCACTGCTACCAGCATTGCTGTGGATATCTAAAGCATAGCCGCTGTTGCTGACACCACCGCCAAATCCATTGCTATGAACATCGGTACCATACCCATTACCGTTGCCAAACCCATTGCTGTGGACGTCAGCACCGTAACCATTGTTGTTAACATCACCAGTAAAGGAGCTTCCGTGAATATCTGCGCTGTATCCACCGTTGCCAACTTCACCGCCGAAGTTGTTTCCATACCCACCACCAAAACCTATATCTCCTCCAGAATATTCACCCCCTGAAGAGTAGCTATTGACATCTCCTGTTGAATAGTCAGTCCCAGAAGAATATCCCCCTTCAATTTTCGGTTCATCATCTGCTATTGGATCATCTTGCCACTGTTTCTTTTCAGCTTTTGGCACAGTAGCACTACTGTTGAAAATATTGATAAGAAAACACAAAACAAACAGATAATGTGGACTGTACATGTTGTAGGATACCTGCAAAAAGATTTATTTTATAAGTAAGCAAATAAAAAACAGTTATATTGTATAATAATACACTGTATTAATTGCGATGCATATTTTGAACTATAGCTAAACATATTCTTTTCTGTTCAATCACAAACTTAGTTTTAAAGAGAGTTTAATGTTCTCCTTAGCCTTGAATTTTAGTTCAATTGATGTTTAATGCCAGTGCTTTGCTTAATAATATATTGAAATCAAGCTTAAAGAAGATGTTACTGCTTTTCTCTTCCTCTCTAATTTAGTATACATCATGGTTCTAAATCATGTGCAAGGAAAAAGAATGTCTGTCTCCACAATTTCATGTTTTTTACTCTTAACTTAAAATGTCTATTAAATGGCTATAATAAAATCAAAGAAATCAAATTCCTGTAAATATTATTTTAACTTGCTCATACCATTACCGTTTATATTAATCTCTTATTGAAGTATATTAGTAGGTTAGCAAACAAATAATTTGTATAAAAAAGTCTAACGTTTTTAATAAAATATTAATGCTAATAGAGAATGCCCATCTCTACAAATTTATGTTCTTTACGTCAACGTAAAGCTTTTGCTGAAACCCTGACTGATTTACGAATGCATATCGAGTACGCTTAAAAATGCATATTGAATTACTGAAATCTATTTGAAATACGTTTTTATTTGATAATCGGATTTTTTGGTGAAATTTTCACCAAAAACGTTATTGAGATGCATTAATTTAACTTTAAGAAGACTTTTGATCGAAAACATTTTCTTATTAATAATTATATGTATGTAAGGACTTGTAATTTTTGACCTCTTACTATATAAAGCAAAAATGAAAACAGAAGAAAAATACGCCAACATAAAATTCGCAACACTTCTTTGCTCCTGTGCTCCTGATGAAGAGGGACCTGTACCTGAGTTCCCTCGAAATCGATTGAAATATTGACTAAAATTACGCCGAACTCAAAGTTGGTGCCTTACTAGTTTTATATACAAAATAGCTGTTCATGCAGAATGTACTACTGAGTCAAAACAAAACGCATTAGAAATATCAAATTGCGGAAGCATTTGAAAATTAAATGCTGCCCAGATTAATTTTCAAAAACCTTTCCTTTGACGTTCAACCATATTATTTTAAATATTATTACTGAGATTATGTTTTTAGACTAACCATTTGATTATATTGAGTAAAAATCATTCATTAAAAATTACCCTTCCCATTGCTTCCTTAGTGGATATTCGTATTGTGAGGTAGTATTTTACAATAATCTGATTAATTTTAGTGTTACATAAAAAACAGAAACTGGTTTATATAATCAGCTAATTCCGTTTAAAAGCCTTTAATTTAAGTGCACGCAAAAGTATCGTAATTTAGTATAAATTAGATTACAAGTAATTTTCTCCCAAGAGATGAATATTTTCGTACCTTGATTTTCCATTAAAGATTCGAATTAAATTATGGAATTGTAAGTAGGGAAAAGATATTAAATAGTCCTTTCTCTTTTATCAAATCTTTTATTAGATCAATAGTATTCAAATGGCAAACGCAAGCCATACTTATTTCACCATTTAATTAATCGATTACAACCGTCCTCCTCCTTTTACAAGATAGGGCATGAAATAGTATAAGATGAATGCTACAGGAAAGGTATAATATGCCATGTGTACCGATTGCATTAAAATTGTCATTAGAATATACATGACTAGCCAGTATGGAGGACAAATTCACTATGTCTATACTACTGCATGGAAAATTTCTTTAAAGAGTTTTCTTTCACAACCCATAACTTCTTAACAGTTTTACAGCCCAAGTCCTCTGCTGATTCCTAGAAGAATGACCGAATGGACGCTTTCAGTTCCACTGCTTTTTGGGAGATATGACGTCACAAGAAGATTTATACAGAGTTTTTATAGCTACAGTACTCAATTGGTTTGATTGGTGTATATCAGTAAAACATTATACGGGGCTTAAACTATTCAAGGAACTATGTACAACATTCTGCGTTATTTTCTCATTATCCAGAACGTCTTCATTGAACAAATTCCGATGCCAAAAATGTTTTAGGTTTCCTACTTAAAAATTAGCAATTTTAAAACAGAAAGTTTATCTCAATACTAAGTGTCCGTCTATTTTTAAGGAATTAAAAGTCAACAAAGTGAATGTATTGAGCATTTTTAGTGGTCTGAGGGTCAGCAATTTAAAAATGCCAATACATGTATCTTTGCGTCCTCTAAAACACTTTTGTAATCTAGGCAAATGGTTTCGAAAATAAGGGCCGGGTAAGGAATTTGTGGAAGCTGTGTATAATTCCTGTAAGCTTATACCATATAAGCCTGTAAATCTTGTATATATCATCGCTCTTGTATATACCTAAGCTTTTACCTTCGTTCGTTTACAGTTGATTGATTCCTTCGCAGAAATCATCTTTTGCAGTACTGTTTTAAATCTCTGATAACGCTTTTCTGAATCTATCAGAATACAATATTTTAAGTTAGACTTCACTTTAGGGAATATTTTAGCAAAGGGAAAATTTTCAAGGAAAGCATTTCGTGAATAAAAGGTGTGGTTGAAAATTGTGATACTTTTCTCTGCTAGAAACTTCTTGATGAGAATCATGCGACGTAGTAACTCGCCAGCACGGTCTGTGTCAAGGTTTCTGAAATTGAAGCTTCTGCCGCAAACGTAAACCATCTGGAAACCCAAGTAGACGACAGCTGTTTAGTCTCAGAACAATAAGCAAAGCATCGAATTTCCCTTCAGCCACACTTTGTTTAAAACCAAAATCAGGATTGATATCTGTAGTGTGTATCAAATCACGGGATGCAGAAATTTAATTTTCATTACGTTTGACAGTCATGACTGGACAAAAAAAACTTATTTTCAAGACATGGCAATTTTATAAGAACAATATTATGTCTGTGACAGTTTTATAACAGTAAACTGGTGACTAGTTAAGCTCACCAGCTATCCGTCAGAGGAGGTTTCAACAACAATTATCGAACTCTGTTAGCGTTCTCATCCTTTCGAAACTGCGAAGGTTAACCACCTTTGTTTCATCATCAGTACCATCGTGCTGATCATGAAATCATCGTACTAACAAGAAACTTTAGTCTGTGTTTGTGATTATACCCTCCCCACAGGGGTCGACTGCAAACAATTCCGGCTAGGTCAATCCGACTTCTGGCTTAGTCAATATCTAAAGTCCCTATCACATATGCTTCCGCTACGCGGGACTGGAAGTCGAAAGGGTCATTTCTGAGAAACCGCTGCACATTTCTACTAAACCTACGTGTAGCTAGGTTACCATTTCCACTTACTAAACACACTTGAACACCAAACAGTAATCGATTGTCGCTCAGATAGAGATCGTGTGTTCCTTCAGAAGCAGAACTTTCGTTTAATTGGTTGATCTCTACCTGGGACAGATCTGCAGACGGAACATTTTCTGCCGAAGTTTTAAAATACCCGCGTAGCCGGAACATCTTTTCTAAAGCTAAGTGGGACTTATGTTCCAGCGGAGCTGTTTTTTCTAGGAATCCTTCCGTTTAAACTAATGCTACTAGAATCTCGTTTCTCAGAAAAGTCCCGTGTGGCGGGGACCGTCGCTAGATGTGATAACCCCTTAAACAGACTCGACTTCTGGGGAAATATCCGCAGTATCAACGTATATTTAAAACGTAAAGTAATGGAAACATCTAACAATTGAAGAATTGTGTATTTAATGTGGTGAAGGAGCAGATTCTGCATCCAAAAAATCATGGAATGTTTCTTGAGGTAGAGACATATAATGTTTACATGATGTTAATAAGTATTTTGTACCATTCTTCTGCCAGAATCTGTTGCCATTCTCTAAGAGATGCCAAAGGAGATAAAAGGGGTCTCAGTATATTTTCAATAGCAGACTTGCAACATTAAAGTAACATTTAAGTCATGTAATTGCACAAGCCAGGAAAAGTGTTCAACTTTATCCTCATGTTCTTTAAATCATAACCGAACAATGTTCGATGAAGGGAGGCATTTTTACTTGGAACGTCGCAGTTATCCAAAGAATATAACGTTAGCTCCATTGAATAGATACAGTAGCTAAAAAGGATTACACAATGACCGCTATTTATTTTCCTTTTTCTACAGTTTGACCTATTGCAAACAACGGTATTACTCTTCTACGGTTCTCTCATTTGAGCAAAGGCAGCGGTAATTATGCATGGTAAGCAGATGTAATTATGCAACTCAAAGCAGAGGTAATTAGGCATGGTTTCCCTTACCAGGGTTATCTGTGGTGCTGGTAAGAGATCGATAAAGTTCACCATGAGTCCAAAATCACAACGACAATCAAAATGTCACGACAGGAGTGCTCAAAACATAACTGATTCACTACTATATTTTAGTCCAAGGAGCATTAATCTGGTTTTAAAACTTCCGTTGTTGTTCTTTCACATATATACCCATCTTGAGGTGGAAGAGCATGTGAAAGTTAACTCATCAGAAAACTATACCTGTTTCCATTGATCGATAGACCTCGTTTTATGTTCGCGACACTATTTTAGCCTCCTTTTTGCATTTATTTGCAGTCTAAAAATTCAGGATAACAGCTTTCCCGTAAATATCCTGCTTGTGCCGTTCGCTTCGTATTGTATGCGTTGAAATTTGATTCTGTAGATGTATGATAACCTCAGCTGTAGACTTTGTCGCAGTAGTTTACCGTTTGGCATAATAAGCCTTCTCGCTCTACTAGTAAGCTTCATTTGCCTCGCACAATTGATCCTAGCATACGATGTTGTGCCATCGATACTATAGGCTATCACATTATGCACAGAACCTATCAATATCCCCTATAGTTTTGGAGCTAAACTAACAATAATCTCTTTGAAATTCAGTCAAAACACTCATTTGAAAAGTACAAATGAAATTTGTAATTTTAACACAACCTTGGGAATATATGTGAAATAGTCACACAAAGAATACGGTGACTATAGTTTAGGTTTACTACTTAATATATAGAAAC